GCGAAGTGTACAGCATGTGCACACGAAGTGGAAGCCCGAACGCAGTCGGGGCCGCGAACTTCCCACGACACAGTGCAAAGTCCTCGAGCAACACCGCCGGACTTGAGCCAGCACGGCTGCGGACGCTGCTCCTCCTCCTCCGCCTCTTGATCTTACTCCTCATGCTCCTTTGTTTCTCTGCTCACCCCACTCTCGGCTCCTGCTCCTGCTCACCCTCATCCGATCCTCATCCTCATCCTGCTGCTCCTGCTCTTTCTGCTATTCCTCTTCGTCCTCACACCATTCACCCTTTGTTCTCCTCCTCCTCCTCATCCCCGTCCTCCTCCCTGACTCCATCTCCTCCCACCAATGCAGCTTCTCTCCCACCACCTTCCCGTGCATCATAATTGGGTCCCTCAAGGATGATGTCAATAGCCGAGGGAAGAAAAGAACATGCGACCACGTCAGGAGACCGCGTCAGGAAGGCTCATACTACCGTCCTCGGGATCCACCCCACCACTGGAAAGTGGAGGAACGCCCCGAAGAAAAGGTATCAGCAGGAGCATGTCCTGCTGTGGCCAGGGCTGTGACATCCTTCGTCTAGGAAGCGTGGCAGGCGCCTGACCGTTAGCAGAGTGACCACAGTGATCTTCCTGATGAGCTGACTGCATTCTTTCAGGCCCTTGACTCCTATGCTGACTTCAATACCGCAGATAATCCGCCACCGTACCTCTGGTACGAACTGGAGTGTCCCAGTGCTCATGCAGCACTGTGAGGGCTGTGTTGCTGCTGCTGCTGCAGCCAGACTTGTAAGTCTGTCAGGGCCTGGACCAATCGTTTCCTGGGCTGGCCCGGGGTCCGCCAGACTCGCTCGCGTCGACCTACGCCGCCCAGGACGGCCCTGAAACGAGCCTAGATGGCTCAAAGAGGCCCCGAAATTGTCAAAGACGATCCCAAGTCGCCCCAAGATCGCTCCAAGACGCGCAAGATGGCCTCCAGATGGCCAGAGAAGCCCCCAAGACTTCCCAAGAGAGCCCGAAGAGCACCCCCAAGAAGGCGTGAAGAAGCAAAACATCGTCCCATTCCCAGAGGGATACGCATATTGTCAATATACCGGCCTCGACAACGTCCACAACCGCACGTGAGGCCCCCAAGATCGCCCCAAGACGGCCCAAAAAGTCCCCAAGAAAGCCTCAGGACGGCCCAAGAAGGCCCCAAGACGGCCAAAGGGGCGCCTACGACGGCCACAGAAGGCCTCAAGAGAGCCCCAAAGGCCCCAAGAGAACCCCGAGAAAGGGAACCTTAACTGAGATTTCGAGCCTTCCGCTCCAAGCGGGCCCCCGAACCTGTTGGCAAGCCCCCCAGAAGCCCCCCCCACAGGCCCCCAAGACGCCCACAATAGGCTCCGAAGAGCCTACAAGAGGCCCCCAGATAGCTCACAAGAGGCCCAGAGGCGCCCCATACGCTTACCAAGAGGCTCCAGGGGGCCCCCTGAGAGGCTCCAGAGAGGCCCCAAGAGGCCCCAAAACGCTGCCCAAGAGACCTCACAACTGCCTCCAAGAGGCCTCGGAGAGGCCACCCACGAGACCCCAACGAACGTCCAACAGGCTTCCTATCTAGCCTAGGCACAGTGGCGGGATGGGCCGAAGGCCGTGCGATAATCTTGCTCACGATTTTTCAAGTTCTACTCTGCAGAGGAAGCCCAGGGATATCCGATTTGATCAGCCCCAATTTAGGGGGCAAACAGACCTACCTCGCTTTTGACCACCCTCGCTTCCAAGAGATACCAAACGATGCCAAACTACGGCCTGTACTGGTCAGGCCGCCTGACGAGGAGGCGCGTGGTATGACTTGGTTTTGCCTGGAAGCGAAAGCGGGGTAGGTAATTCACGCTCTGACAATTGCCTGCTCAGGAGCAGGCCCCGTGCGAGGAGCCCGGTCTGGACTCTTGCCCAAGGCCCAAGGAGGCCCAGGACTTTGCTCCCGACTCGGAGGAAGGCGCCCTTGGGGCCCTGGGGGCGTCGGGGGACTCCTGGGACTCATCCCTCCTCCTCCTCCCTCCTCCTCCTCCTCCTCCTCCTCCTCCTCCTCCTCCTCCTCCCCCTCCTCCTCCTCCTCCTCCTCCTCCTCCTCCTCCTCCTCCTCCTCCCCCTCCTCCTCCTCCTCTCCTCCCTCCTCCTCCTCCTCCTCCTCCTCCTCCTCCTCCTCCTCCTCCTCCTCCTCCCTCCTCCTCCTCCTCCTCCTCCTCCTCCTCCTCCTCCTCCTCCTCTCCTCCTCCTCCTCTCCTCTCCCTCCCCTACCCGCCCGCCCCCCCCCCGTCTCGAGCTCACGCCCGAGCTGCTCCTGGCCATTCCGCGGCGCCGAGGAGCAGGCTCGCGTCAGACGCGCGGTGCGCACCCCGCTCCCCTCGGCCTGCCTGCTCCCCTGTTGCCGGGGATGCCGCGGGTAGGCAGGCGGGATGAGATGGGGGCCTCCCGCCTGCCACCCGACCGCAACGTGTCCAAGCCTGCCTCCCACTTTGGGGGGCTTTCAGCTTGCCTGCTCTCCCCCCTGGGCCTCCCCGTTTGCCCCCCGAGCTTTGCTACCCTACAGGGTCCGGCTTGAATAGGGAGCACTTGCTTTCCAAAAGGGGCCTCGGTCGTTCCTCTGGTTTGCGTGCGTTCCGCTGCCTTTTTTGCGGCGGGCTCCCCTGGTGTTCCTTCGGACTTCCTAGACTCACTTGGAAAAAAAGGGGCTTCGTTCCTTATTTGTCGTTCCTTAGGTCAAGCCGAATGTTGTACCGCAACGTGTCCAAACCTGCCTCCCACTTGGGGGGCTTTCAACTTGCCTGCTCTCCCCCCTGGGCCTCCCCGTTTGCCCCCTGAGCTTCGGGCCTGGGTCAGGGGCGGTCACCCGCAGGCTTTTTGTTGCAAGCGCGTTTCGACTTGTGAGTTTCATGCACGTGATGATGTACAGGCTGACAATGAGCCTTTATTCCGATCCGATCAGATCCATCTCCTCGTCCTCCCTGTCCTCCTCCTCCTTCTTGTCCCCCTCGTCCTCTTCCTGCTCAAGCCCTCTTCATTAGGAAAAACTCCTCCCTGTCGCACCCCGAGGCCGGTCGAAAGGGCGGGCTGGCCGTTTCGCCTGAGACGTTCTCACACTCTATGATCTGGAAGCTTGAGCATTGAAGCAACTTCATGGATTGAGGGCGGTCCGCTTTCAAAATGTGGCTCTGGCCTGAGTGCCGCGCACATTTTTCTCTAAAAAAAAAACATCTACAAGAAGTCAACGGGTGGAGGGCGGCCAGCTTTCAACATGTGGCTCTGGCCTCCGCGCCGCGCACACTCGTCTTAAACAGTTACAAGAACTGCACGGATGGAGGGCGGTCCGCTTTCAAACTGTGCCTCTCGCCCCTCAAAACGCCGCGGACATTCTTTTCTTAAAATGTTTGTAGGACTTTCACGGATGGAAAGCGGCCCGCTGTCAAACTATGGCTCGCGCCTCAGCGCCGCGCGCACTCGGTAGACAGGCATGTGCGAGCTTCACAGGTGGAGGGCGGTTCTTTTTGAGCATGTAGCTGTCGCCTTAGCGCCGCGCGCACTCGTCTTAAGAGTTTGCAGCAGTCTCACGGATTATCATGGTTTACGTCCCGCGAACGGTGTTTGGGCATGATGTCGACATGTCAGGGCGCAACAGCCACGTTGATTCGAGGTGTTGGAGTCCCCGGAAAGGTGTTCTGGCACTCTTCATGATCGTCAAGGCGCAACAATGACGGTGATTCGCGGCGTTGGCATCCCAGGGGCAAGGTTCTGGCACAGCTCCCGATTTGCAAACGCTTGTTTTCCAATGGGGCATTTCCCTTGGTGAATATGGAACCTTGCAGGGGCCTGCGAAGAGGGAGCTTGGAGAAAGGCTTTATTGCAGTATCGTTGATGAGTCTTGGGTTTGCGCTGGCCCTCCTCTTCTGCCTCGACCTTTTCGTCCTCCTCGTCGTCCTCGTCCTCGTCCTCGTCCTCCTCCTCCTTGTCCTCCTCCTCCTCCTTTGCCTCGTCCTCGTCCTTGTCCTCCTCCTCCTCCTCCTCCTCCTCCTTGTCCTCGTCCTCGTCGTCCTCGTCCTCCTCCTCCTCCTACTCGTCCTTGTCCTCCTCCTCCTCCTCCTCCTCCTCCTCGTCCTCGTCCTTTGCCTGTCGGCGCCTGCCGTGCTCGGAGGGCATGAGCGCGGGGAAACGCGCGAGGGCTCCTGGCCCCGCCGAGGCCACCGCCCCGAGAGACGCCGACACCTCCTCCTCCTCCTCCTCCTCCTCCTCCTCTCCTCCTCCTCCTCCTCCTCTCCTCCTCCTCCCTCCTCCTCCTCCTCCTCCTCCTCCTCCCTCCTCCTCCTCCTCCTCCTCCTCCTCCCTCTCCTCCTCCTCCTCCTCCTCCCCCTCGTCTCTCCCCTCTCCTCCTCCTCCTCCTCCTCCTCCTCCTCCTCCCTCCTCCTCCCCCTCCTCCTCCCCGAGGGCGACGGCAACGTGGGGCCGACGCCCTCCGCCACTCGCCCGCGCCGACACTGGCCAGGCCGATGCTGGGCTTAAGTCGGGCGTGTCCCCCTACAGGGGGATTTTCGACGAAAGATAAAAAGTACTCAAAAAATGCTCCAAACAGGTCAAACGATACTGAAAAAATAGTCCCCAGACTATTTTTTGACTATTTTGGAATATTCCCCCTGTAGAGGGACAGGCCCGACTTAATGCTGGGCCTGAGGTCTGGTGGACGCGCCCTCCCCAGACCTCCGGTGGATGCGGTGGGTGCGCCCTCCGAGGTGGATGCGCCGAGATGCGGTTGACACGCCCGTGGCCCAACGAGGGCCCCGAGAGGCCGACAGTGGCCAAACACCTCCCGTCGCGACTTTTCACGACGGGATGAAGTCTGGGACACCCGGGAGCGCGCACGCACCCTGGAGCGCGCACGCCGAGGCGAAGTCTGGGCCCAGGATCGGCACAGGCCATGGACCGGCCCGCGCGCATTGGCTGGCTCCCTCACCCCCACTCCCCGGTAGCCTGCACGTCGAGTTCTCCACGGTGTGGTGGACGAGCCTGTGGCGGCGCGCCAAGGCCGCCGGGGCAAAGAGGAGGTCCTTCCAAGAGTAGAGGAACAGGCCAGCGGCATAACCAGAACATTTCGGAGGTCTGTGCAAAATTCTTTAAATATGCGCACCCCCTGGCGGCGAGGCGATGCCCCTGGCGTGCGGAGCCCGTCAGAGAGGGGCTTCCAGCGCCGATCGAAGACATCCTCGCGGACCTCATAAACATATGTTTACGCAGATGATTGTCATTATGCTTGACTCGGTGATGCGGACAGTGTCGAAAGATCGCCCCGATGCCCTCGATGCCCCCCCCAGCCAGTGCTGGGTGAGGGCAAAGCAGAAACCAAAAGGAAACGAGAGAGAAGAGAAACAGGGAGGACGAATACCTGTGATACCTGTGACCATGGAAGACGGAGAAAGAGGGGGAAACGAAGCTCTGGCGCTGTGCGGGTGCAGAGATGGACCGAGTGTGGGTCCCCATCTCCCCCCACCCCCAAGGGAGGCCCACCTCTCCTAGAAAAGGGGCCTGCCCTCCAATTGTCCCGAAGTCCGGAAGTCAAGGCGTGTGGGAGGGATGGTGCGTGCGACGCGGCGGCGCGCAGCAGTAGTGGGTTGTGCAGGGGGGGGGGGGGCGGGTGGCACGAACGCTGAGCGCTAGGTTGACAAAGTTGGGCGCCCTGGGCGTGCGGCTGACGGGAGGCAGGGCGAGCGGGCAAGTATGGGGAGGGAGGTGGCCCGAGCGAGGCCGCCCCCCCCCCCCGAGGGGGGAGGGTGACGGTTCCCTCGGCACGGCTCCTGGGTGCTCGCGACCTGGTTCTCGGCCGCCGTAAAAGCTGTACTCCCTCGCGGTTGCCGGTGCCGAGCGTGGCGCCTTCTGGTCTCCTCTCCCCGCATCGGGATCTTAAACCCTATGTGTGCGTCCTGCCCCCCCCTGGTCTGGCCGTCCCCCCCATGCCCCAGGCGCGGCGGATGGATGGGAAAGTTCGAGGGGGCGAGCGGCGGGGGAGGGGGCTGCCGAGAAGAAGAGGAGAGGGAGGGGGATGTTAGGTGGGAGGCTCGAGGTAGGTGGGTGCCTCAGAGGATGCAGGAACGGGGGGCAGGTAGCACAGGGTTCCGAAAATGAGGTCGAGGTCCCCGATGTAAGCGGAATGGCAGAAGTGGAAGTAGACGTCGTGCGGAGGCGGAGACGCAAGTCTCAGGGAGTGCCAGGCGTTGCAGAGGTAGAAGTAGGCGTGGGTGGTGGTGTTAGAGACTCGCTCGTGTCACTCTTGGTGGACTTGAAAGCGTGGTGCTGGAGTTGAGGCGTCGGTGTGTGCCGCGTAGGTGGGACTTGCCAGTGCCGCGTCGTGCGTTGCTGGTGCTGCTTCTGCCTTGAGCCAGCTGAAGGTAGTAGTCGTCCCCGGGAGTTTGAAGGGGCCCTAGGACACACAAAGTAATACACACAAATAAAAAGATTCCCCATATTTTCCCATATTTTCTGGGTTTTTGTCTTCCCCCCCACTTCCCATATTTTCCCATATTTTCGGGGAAATCGACGATTCATTGTGTCTGTGTGTTCTTTCCCCTCCTGAGAGTTAAGCTGGTGGAGGCATGGGAGGACTGCGCCCTGCAGTGGCGGATGCAGTTGTAGATGTTGACGCTGGGACTGGTTGGAATTGGTGCTGGTGCCCCTCGCGGTGCGGGTGGCGCGTGCTACGGGTCCCGCCCCCGGCGCTGGGCACGGGGTCGTGAATTTTTCAGACCTTGGGCCGAGGTCGCTGCCGCGCGAGCGGCTGTTCTCGGCGCCTGGCTTCCGTGGGCCACTTGCAGGATGGCGGATGGGTGGGGGCGGTTCGGCGTGTGACGCTTGATGGGGGGGTCACTAGGTATGGTCGTGGGTGCCTGTTTTGGGGGTGTCGGGGCGGAGGGGAGGAGGAGGAGGAGGAGGAGGAGGAGGAGGAGGAGGAGGAGGAGGAGGAGGAGGAGGAGGAGGAGGAGGAGGAGGAGGAGGAGGAGGAAGAGGAGGAAATGGAGGAGGAGGAAATGGAGGAGGAGGAGGAGGAGGGGATCCAGTATCTGCTGCGGGGCTGGGTACTTGCGGGATGTCCCGGCGGCCGGCGGTCCTCTCGCGGAGGATGGCGCGGTGCGCGACGTCCGGCGTGACGCGGCGTAACTTCGTCGAGATCCTCGGCCTCCGCTTTCGGGCGCAGGCCGACGATCGCGTCGGTGGTGCCGGAGATGTGCGCCCTGTAGTCTATCATGAGGTTGGGGTCGATACCTTCCGTCTCGAACACTGGTAATTGTGGTTCGTCGCCGCGCTCGTGTGCCTGTTGGGTGGCGTCGTCCGAGGTGTGTTCTTCCCATGTCCAGTGGCCAATGGGGGTCCACGCCTTCGGATTGGGCAGTGGGTCGATCCGCGTGATGCGGATGTTGCCGCCGTTTTTTGATGGTGGGGCATGTGCACTTCTATCTGTCCTTTGGCGTCCCGTTCTGGCATGCTGCGCGGACCTGGTGGACGTCGCCGGCGGGGTGGTCCAGCGCTGTCCCGAAGATGATTCTGACAGGGAGGTAGCCCTCTGCTTTGGCCAGTGGAGGCGCGTCCTCGGTGTAGCGCTTGTCATCGTGGTCGCTATGCCGCTGGGATTGTGTGGGACCAGTCTGAAGGTCGGATCGAAGCCTCGGCCTGGAGCGCGCGTGGGCGGCGCCTCCTTGGGCTGAGGCGGTGGCATTCGCACCGCTGGGGCAGTCGGCGAGGCTGTATGCGTGTCATGTGCTGTGGTGCTTCTGGGCGGCTTGCTGCGTGGTGTTGCAGCGGGTGTTGGCGTCCTCTGGGGGATGTCAGGAGGCGCCCTGTGCCTCGGCGGCCGCTCTGGGTCTGCGGTGGTGGCCTCCTTGTCGATGGGCTCCTTCGTGCCGAGCTTCGGTCCTGTGGGGCGCTTCCCGTGGGGTCCTGGTCGACGGCGGCTGGAATGCGAATGCGCTCGTGTTGTGTTCCTTCGGATGGCGCGGTCCGTCGGCATTGAAGGCCTCGCTGGGGCGCGGGAAGACCCCGTCGAAGATGTCGTTCCACTCGTTGCTGTCTGTTGTAGATGATGTCGGCAAACATGCAACTGTTGCACAATCCGTCCATAGGGTTTCCAAGTATGTACCATCTCGCATCGCAGCCTCTGTATGATGCTACTGAGTCGGTGGCGGTCGGCGCAGGTGCGTCGTTGCTGGGGCCTGGACTGCTGGTGGTAAGTATCTTGTCGGCTGCCTCTTGTATGTCCCACAGCTGGTCCAATACCATGCCCATGTTGACGGGGCCCGTGAGGGTGTCCTGCGCGATGTCCTTGACGACTTGGGCTGCCTGGGGCAGCTCTTGTCCGTGCCTCGCGTTGGTGAGGGAGGATTGTGGGTCGCGGTGGCTGAGCTGGAGATGGCGACGATGACGTTCTTGCGGAAGTCACTGTCGCTGTTGTACCTCTTGGTGTATCGTTCCTCGTGAGCTGCCTCTGGTGGCGTCGGATCCATCACCTCCTTGGCTTTTGCTAGTGTTGGGTGTTGGCCCTGAGGGTAGCAGTGGTTTGGGTTCGTCGCCTTCGACTTTTAAAGGGCGGCGCTCTGCCGAAGACTATGTCGCCCGCGGCCTTCTTCGTGAATCGGAAGATCTCCTCATTGTCGCTGGTCAGGTGCTTCTTCCATGGCGCTCTTAGCTTCCAATTCTCTGGGCGCTTAGTCATGGCAAGATAAGCCCTCCACGGGTACGGTAATATCACGGCATGCTCCGGTAGTGATGGCTCCCCACATCCGCGCTAGGTGGCTCTTTATTCGGCGCGGCTGGCTCGTGGATCAGCGGCGCGGTGTGAGCGTATGGATTGTGCCTAGATGCGAGGTCGATCTTTTCTTGGGCTGCCATCGGGTACGTTGTCCATCTTGGTGCCGTCGTGGGTGCAGTCTCTGCCGCAGGTACGATGGCCGTGTTCCCAACTGGCTGGCAGTGAGGGAAGGCCTGCGACCTTCTTTCCTCGGGGTGAATGAAGATGGGTGGCTTGCGCTCTCTCGGGCCAATTGTCTTCCACATTGGATGCGTATTTTGAAATGCCGGCATTTATTCGCGACCTGCTACTTCGTATTCTTCGTAGTCTTCGTTCTGGCTGAGCTCATGTGACTCGCGGCGATCCTTCAGCTACTTGTCCACTTCGATCTTGCACTCTTCGCTGATGGTGTCGTAGTCGGCAGTTCTGGTCTCCATGAAGCCCCCGCGGGCGGCTGCCACTGGTCGGTGTTATTCATCTGTCTTTCGATGGGCGTGGCTCCTCTGGGAGGGATGAGCTCCATGTGAACGTTATGCGTGTCCTCGTCCGTCAAAATATGTGCACTTATTCCACCGTCGAATGCCCAGCGACGGTGCACTTTGCCCGAAGGGCGGCGCTCAAATCATAAACAGGATTTGGCGCCACGTGCGCGAGATATCATGTCCAGCCGCTCCCCGTCTGTGAACGCGCGCAACTGGGGCAATCGCGCTCGCTCCGCCCAGTTGCCATTTTGGAATACTGGTTTATGTGTGGATGCCGACTGACGCGGTGCTTGCAACGTTGGCTTCTGACTAATAAGCGTGCTTCAGACTATTGCGTGTAATGTTTCTGCCCAAACTGATGAACCGAATATCTGTGTCTACTTTGCTAGCGAGGGGGGGGGGTGGCGTTCAGGTTGGCCTGGCTGTTCTGTGTGATATGATAAGTTTTATTGGTTTGATCGGCCCATGGAAAGTGCTTGGAGCAATTGATATGATCGGGGCGGTTGTGGTATTTCCTCCCATCGTCGTGGCTGGCATGGGTGGCAAGTTTACTTGGTGTGTGTCACGGGTGTGGTTGGTACAACTAGTTTCGGGAATGTATGTTGTATGCTGGTGGCAAGCATGAGCGTGCTGACGAGATTGGCACCCCTATGTTTCGACAACGAAAACATGGATCTCAGGGGCCGCCCCATACACATATGTATATATGTATATATGTATATATGTATATATATATATATCTCATCTATGCC